GTGCAAGGACCTCTGGTGTCCCTCGGAGAGGCGGATCGAGGAATATGCAAGGGGCATTTCAATGGCTGGGCAATAAACACTTGGCGAAGCTGAAGAGGTAATCTCTCCATGGGCTTTCATGTGCCACTGGATACCTCTCTTGGCACGGCCGGAGATATTTTGGAAGTGGTGGTGAGAGACAAATTGATTCTCATCATCTCCATCCCCAGGAAAAGGCCAAGAATGCCATAGTGTATAAAGACTCCAAAATTCAAACTCCCTGGAACTTGGGATGGAGTGCTTCCCACATTTGCACATCACTGTGTGCAACAAAATGGGATCGTAAAAACTATGGACAGGAAAAAGAGGGGAAACCGATGAAGGCGTCATGGGTAGAAATGCCAGAACAGGCTGACAGGCCGACCAGGGGGACACAGGCCAGAAAGGCTGAGAGAGGGAATTGTATTGAACAGAAATGTCACAGCTTCTGGCTCCTGATTGGGGCGGGATGGAGGCGGCGGCAGGGGACCCAGCAGTGCTGTTAGAACCAAGCACTCCCCCAAATTCATGCTCCAGATGGTTCTGTCAGCAGTGGGAGAAGGTGCCTTTAGAGCTGCTTGTCCTCAGTTAACCTCCCTCACTTCCACTCTCTGACGGTCTGAACGAAAGGCACAGAAGAGCAAACGCTACAAGTCTCTGCAAGGCTGCTACACCTCCGGGCTAAAGGGACAAGTCTTGGGTGGCTGGGAGCGTTCATTCTGCCCAATTTGATTCAAGCATCTATTGAGCGCCTCCTGTGTGCAATACACATAGGAGGCACAGTGTGCGGGGGGTAGTGGGGGGTGGATTAGGAATGAGGAAGACCCTGACCTGGCCCTCAGAAAGCTTAATGTGATCTGAGGCCAGGCAATGACCTCACCATACACTTTCCCATGCAAATAGGAAATACCTGAGGTAGCTTGGAAGAGCATTTTTTTAAAAAACTAACATTTACATGCTCATGTCAGGGGCACCTGGGTGGCTCAGTTGGTTAGGTGTCTGCCTTCAGCTCAGGTCATGATCACCAGGTTCTGGAATCGAGCCCCACATCAGGCTCCCTGCTCAGTGAGGAGTCTGCTTTTCCTTCTCCCTCTGCCCCTTCCCACCACTCCTCTCTCTCTTTCTCACAAATAAATAAATAAATAAAATCTTTAAAAAAAATAAATGTTTGTGCCATTCCAGTAGAAAAAGGGAACTAAAGATGGTTAAAAAGAGAGGCACCACAGAGAACTGGCATTCTCCAGGAGCTCCAAGAACCAGGGTGACCAGGAAGGCTTCAGGGTGGAGGTGAGAGCAGGTGTCAGACTTCAAAGGATGGCTAGACTGTACTTACCAGGAATGTCCAAACAGGCATTTCAGGAAGAAGTGACAGCAATAACAAATTCAGAAGTGGGAATGAGCCAAGTCAGGCTAGTGAAGACACCACAGGAGGCCTGTACCAGCTTTCGAAAAGGTTTCTGGTCTCTCATGTAACAATTTGTCCATCTCAGCAGAAGCAAGGGTATGAAGAGTCTGGGACGTGATCCGTGCTCTTTATCGAGCTGCCCCACTCTCTGCGTGCTCCCTCCCCACTGCACCAATGGAGAAAACCATGTGATGTCTACAAATCACCTGCTAAAAGCCTTTCGTGTATTGGCTTTGCCTATTTCATCTCTATGCAGAAGGGAGAAACTTACCTCCTGGGATCTCTAGAAGGGCGAAAGAGTTAGGGCTGGTGGTCCCTGAAGAACCACTATTTCGGGCACCTGGGTGGCTCAGTCAGTTAAGCATCTGCCTTCAGCTCTGGTCAGGTTCTTGGGGTCCTGGGATCAAGCCCTGCATCGGGCTCCCTGCTCAGTGGGGAGTCTGCTTCTTCCTCTCGATCTCCCTCTGTGCTCTCCCTCTCTTTCTCAAATAAATAAAATCTTAAAAAAAAGTACCACTATTCCTTAGGAAAAACAAAAACGTGAGTCAGAACACACCCCTTCTGTTGAAAATGTCATCAGCCAGAAGCAAGCCTCCCCCCTGTCAACCACCTCCCATCTCCAAGACAGCTCAGGGCTCAGAACCATTAGGACAACTGATGAACCTCATCTTCAACTAAAAGGGTGGAAGCTGTGTAGATGCCAGTAGGACATGTCTGAGTATTCAGTGTAATGGAGGATAAAGGCAGCAATACAACCACTTTGAGGGCTCTTTGACTTTTGGTGTCCTGAAATTTCTAACTCATTGTGATTAAAATCATTAAAGGTCTGCCCAACAATGGAGAGAGGCCCTCGTTTGTCACATCCTAAGACAACGAGGTAGAGAAATGTGTTAGGTCAGAATGTGGAAGTACTTGAGTCCCATGTTGTTCAAGATGGTGTCAGGGTGGAGGGGCTAGTGTGTTGAGGAAAGCCTAGAAGCAGAAAGGCCACGTAGACGTGTTTGTGGAGGAGTGGACACAGCTACGGCTGCAGCATGTGTGAGCTGGCAAGGAAAGAGGAAGAGGTGGGTCTTTAGAGGAAGGCTGGCCCCAGGGTGTAACTCACAGGCTGAGGGGCTGTTCTCAGTGCCATTGGTTAGGGCCGGGGGGGGGGGGTTGTTGAACAGAAGGTATAGACTCCCTGAATGATGCCTCATAGCCTCACTCCTTCTTGCTCCCCCTCCCCTTTCCAATACATCCAAATGTTTTCCTGTGGTGTGGTGTCTGGTCCCCTCTCAGCCAAAACAGTGCGGATGAGAGGATGGGTCAACAGAGGCCAGAGTGGGGGCATGAAGAATGAGGCCAGCATCACATCTTTCTGCCCATGCTGCTGGCAGGGAACAGCTCTACACGTCCAAGAAGCCAGCTACTAGACTGAGAGCCATCAGTGGGACTGAGGAGTGGGTCCAGGCTCTGGACACTATCAGGATCCAGGAGCGGCAGCATTTTTCAGAACAAAGTAACACAGCCCCTATTTCATGGGCTTGTTCCAAAGCAGTGTTTTGCCTGCATTTTTGTCCTCCAGGAAACATACGTCAACATCTGGACACATTCCGGGTTGTCACAACTGGGAAGTAGGTGCTACTGGCATCTAGTAGATAGATCCCAGGGATGCTGCTAAATATCCTACAATGCATAGCACACCCCCTACAAACAACAAGGAGTTCTCTGGCCCTAAATGTCTGTAGTGCTACAGACAAGAAGCCCCACTCCAAAGGATCTGATATCCTAAAGAGGCAAGAGGCCCCTAGAATGGCTTCCTGGACCTCAGGTTGATACACCCCCAGGTCATCATCTTCTCCTTCAGAGACAAGTCTGGAAAGGGATGCCAAGTGAGCAATCTCCCATCAGTGACACATTCCGGGGGGGGGGGGGACAAGGGAGATGGATGGGAGTACAAATTCAGGCAAATTTCATTCATTACTGAATGAGAGGGGCTACCCAGAAGCTTCTGTTGGGACTTACACCATAGAAGGAGGTAGGACACACTGTCCTGGGTCAGATGAGGGGATGATGCCTGGGCAATCTCCAAGACCCCAGGGACTTTCAATAATCCATAGTTCTCACTTTCCTAGGCATGTAGAGAGCACAAGGCTCAGCCAGCCTCAGGCAGGTGGGCGCACACGGGCACGTGCACACGCACACACACGTAGACGTGACAGTAAAGGACAGGACACACTGCATGAGGAAACCTGCCTTGGGAGTCACCCACCTGCCTCCACCAGTCCCAAAGCTCAGCTCTCTAGGGATTCCAAGTCAACACTGTTAGAAACCATTGACATCTTTCATTAGATGCCCAGTGAGCATGGCAGTGGTGGTGACACAGCAAGGTGGTGGTCTCTACTGTCAGATAAATGGTGAGTCACAATCAGTGGAGAAAGGCCTTCAGAATCTGAGGGTGTGTCTGCATGGCCCCCCAACTCCATCACTGACTTGTCACTTCACCTATCCTTTCCGTCATCCTTAAAATGAGTTATGAATGACACCTGCCACTTGGAGACCAGGTACTATGCACCTAGCCCCTCAAGCACATGTCATTTTCACAACAGCCCGGTGAGAACTTGTACCGTGCCCACCAGAGGGCTGGGGAAATGGGGGGATATGGCTTGTCCATGGTCACATGGGCAGCTGGCAGAGCTAGGACTGGAATCCAGCACAATATGTCATCCGCAGCCAAGGAGGAGCTAGGAGCTCTCAAGGACCGCGCTGCAACGCAGGGTCATCACCCTGCGATGGGAAGGGTCTCAGAGCAAAGGCTTCCTTGTGCTCGGCATTTATTAATGGCGGAAACTTAAGTGGGGGCCTGGCCCAGGTTGGGTGGGCCCACTGGTGCCAAGGGCCAGCAGGCAGATGCCGCTGTAAACAGTCCCGAGACCGGGAGCCAAAGGCCCTGCTGCCGCTGCTGGCTGGCCTGGCCGGGCCCCACTAAAAATAGATGGGCTCTCAGGTCCAGCTCCCTGAGCACAGCGGGCAGGCTGCTCCCTGCCCCGGCCTCCTCCTCTGCCCCTCCCCCCGGCCCACCGAGCATGAGCCAGGCTTCTAGAAGGAACAGAGATGTTAAGACTTCCACCGCAAGCCAGAAAGAACTGTGAAGTTGGTGCCCAGCGGTCACGCTCCAAGTCCCCGTGCAGCGGCAGTCGCAGAGGTCCTGACCCCAACACCCTGCCCATCTCCCTCTTACGGAGGAGGCCCGCAACCTCCCCAACGCCCCCCCCCCCGGGAAGCAGTGGGGCCACCGGGGCTGCCGTTCCTTTCCCGAGCTCTCACTGCGGGCAGCACCGCGCGATGTCCGTGCCCGCTGCGGGCCGCCCGGGAAGCCCCTGGCCGGGGACGGGGCGGGAGCCGGGGACGAGCTCGGGGCGCACGGAGCCGAGGCTCTGCAGCGGCGGCTGTGCGGCGCGCGGCCCGGGCGCAGGTCAGGGCTCGGCTGGGGATTTCCTTTCAAAGGTGACTTAGAGCCGCTTCGTTAGGGTAGCGCCCTCCCGGGCGGGCCCTAATGGCGTGTTTGGCAGAGTCAGCGAAACGCGGCGCCCGGCGGCTCGGCGGCGGGGGAGCGCCCTCTCCCGCGCCCTCGCCGCGTCCCGCGCCGGCAGCGGCGCGCACGGGGCCATTTGCAGCGCAGGCAGCCTCGAGAGCGGCCGCGGCGCACCGGCGGGGAGCGAGGCGACGCCATGGAGCTCAAGAAGGACAGCAACGCCGTGTCCATCGACATGCTGCTGATCGTGCACTCGGAGAAGCGGCGCGCCGCGCAGGGCGCGCACTCGGACCGGCAGGCGGACCCGGGCGCGCCGCCGCAGCGCCGAGGAGGTAACGCGCGCCCCGCCCGGGCCCCCGGCCCCGCTCCTCCGCCTCCTCGGCCTCCTCGGCCTCCTCGGCCTCCTCGCCCCGGGGCCCGCCCGCCGGGGGGCGCCCCACGCGCCCCACGCGCCCCCGACCGAGCGCGGCGCCAGCGACCCTCTCCCCGCCGCTGCCTGCGCCTGTGCGCCGTGGCCCTGGCGTCCCGTGGCAACGCGCAGCCCCGTGATTGCCCTGGGTTGACTCCCCGCGCGGGCTTGTCGGTGCTTCCGTCACCCGCCCGGAGCCAGCCTCCTCCGGGCCACTCACTCTCCGAAGGGTGCACCGCAGGGTTGGAAGATGCCTTGGAGGAAGGGCGCCGGAGCCTCAGGCCTGACCCTGCGCTGCGGCCCAGGCCTGCCCCTCACACGGCACATTGCAGAGCGCCCGGGGGGGAGCCAGGGGAATCTGGGCGCCGAGTCAGACTCTCAGACCGGGAGCTCCCGTCGTGTCCTTGCACAACTCCTGGCCTCAGTTTCCCCTTTCCTGAAGCCTCTCCCAGCGTCCCACAGTAGAAGGTATAAAGGGCGGTGCAAACGGCACCCAGGCTTGGGTAGGGGAAGCGTAAAATCTGCTCTCTGCACTCTCACCGAGCTACTCCTTTTACTCTTCCTACAGACTTTCTGAGGAAGGATAGGCTGGAAGAGTAAAGTGACTGCTTATAGAGCAGTGGTGGAAAGCGGCACTCAGGCCCCTGTAATCTCCAGAGAGGACTCGCTGAAGACAATAGAGATGGAGAGTAGCAGGTGTTAAACGAGCCTCTCGGAATTTGGGGGACCACAGGTCCTAGGTGTGTGAGAAAGCCCTCCCGAGCTGCCTTGGGGGCTGGTGTGAGGTTTGTGCTGGACTGACTGTGGCCCAGTGCTTTGGGAGTGATGTTTTACAGCCCATGTGGCAAAATGACTTCTGCCTCCTGCCTGCCCTCCGGCTCCAGAGCTCCTCTGAGTCTGCCTCTGGCTCTTCTGTCCGCAGAGGCCCTGTGTGCATTGAACACCCGCCTTCCATCTGCCATGCTGAGGCACTGGCGCGGCCACTGGCTTTGACCCCACCAGTCACACAGGCCAAAGCTGCCCCATAATTCCTGGTGACCTCTTGGGGAGGCCGGGGAAGGAATTAGATTGTGGAGAACTGCGTGTGTTGACAGGTACTCCAGTCTCCGGAGGGATTTGGGGCTGGAAGTTGTTTGAGTTGGTTCTGTGTCTGCTGCGGGCCATCCCGGGAAGCCCCTGGTTGGTTCTTTCGTTCTCAGAGCTGCTCCCAAGAGAGGTGGAAAGGGGCCACCCCAGTATTTGTAATGAGAAAATTGGCAGAGGCCATCCACTCCTTGATTGAAAAGAAGCTGCTTCTCCTCCAGAAACTACAGTCCAGAGGCCATCCCCAGTGTGTGGTGAGGCCAGAGGGCCCCCACGAGGCCCAGCTCCGGGTCGGCCTGAGTCCCATCTCCCTTCCCCACTCTGATTGCATCTCTCCTAAAAGCTCCAGGAACACAGGGAAGCCCCAGAAATGCCAGGGATCAGGACTGTTCCCAGAGGTGTCCGACCCCTAGCACAAACCCTACATGACTCCACTGATGCATTTCACACTCGTGACCATGACGTAAGGAAAGAAGGCCCTGCTTTCCAAGCCCTTTCTGCCATTTGTCTCCAAAGTTTTCCTGAAAGGAGGTTTCTCCCAGACATTGTGCCAGTGTAGAGACTGGTGTCACTTATTTACAATCAGACAGTTCTATACCAAAGCAGAGAAGAGGGAGAGTGCCCAGCCTCCAAGCCTGCTGGGCAGTGATGATGTCCAGGAGTTCCCTGGCTAAGTCGACCTATGGCCCCACACAGCCAAAGGCAGGGGAACACTGAATTAAACTAGCTTGTTCCAAGGCCTTCTCTTGGTGTACAAGATCCCCAGGCATCTCCTCCTGTCTCTCTTCTAGCCCAGGTCCTTGGCTCTGCAAAGGAGGGCCTGAGCTCCATTATTGTCACAATGCGGAGGACGGAGTGAAAATATGATTGGGTGGTTTTCTGCTGTGTCCTTGTGGCAGAAAAGAGTCAGAGGGACAAGGAGGCAAAGATAGCGTGTGCTATCTTTTGGGTTTTGGGTTGCCAACAGGTGCTCTCTGTTCTTTCCTCTATGGCCTTTCCATTTCCTTTATGCCGTGCTTCTCAAAAGCATGCATGGACACCCTTGCCTCCTATCATGTATCCCCCAGCCATGGAGGAGGTGGCCTACAGCTGCCTGCACCAAGTCTAAAAGAGCTCCCAAGTCAGGTTTCATCCCTTAAGTCAATATGTGTGCAATCCACTCCACATATGTGTCAGTGAGGGTTCTGAATGGTTAGCCCCAGATACTGACTGCAGAAAAGAAGAGCATCGGGAAGGGACTGGGGGCTTGCAACGGTTGCAAGGGCTGGAGATCCAGGCTGGAGGCCGATCTTCCAGGAAAAGCGCCATAAGCTACACAGCAGAGCTGGTCTGGTGAAGACACCTCTGTTGCCACCAAGGGACCTTAGGTACTCCTTCCTCACCAGGAGCTTGATTTTATTGCAGCTGCTCCCTGCCAGGACATACACCGTTTCTGTGCCAGGAACTTGACCTTGCAGCTACCACTTCCAGCCGCGACGACAGAGGGAGAGAGAGAGAGAGAGAGAGAGAGAGAGAGAGAGCTTCCATTCCCTCCCTCTTGCATCACCAGGCCCCAAGACAGAGCCAGACACAGCTGCATCTGACTGGCTGTGCCTAGGCCACATAGGTCCCTGCTCTAGCTGCAAGGGAGGCTGGGAGAGCAGGCAACTATCACTTCTAGTTTCCACAAGGATAGGCTGTCTTTGCCCACCCTCCACCTCACATCATGACTCTAAAAGTGGGAGATTCACTAAAATGAATGGTGAACATCTTCCACAGTAATGCTTCCATATTTCTGCAAAAGAGATGTGGAGTGAAAACTGGGCATCTGCATTGTGAAAATTCTCCCTGGATGATCCTGATAACCAACCTCACCACCTTTGAAAACTACTGTTTTAATATTTTGCTTTAATGTTTTAAAGTACATCTCATTTTGTGGGATTTGATTTCTCTCAAATCCCGAGAGAGCCGGGTTCCAGCAGCCCCACTTCAACCCAGATGCGTTAACAACTGGCCCATCACTCACTGGCCTGGGTCTTCCCACCATGAAGACCCTCATGCCAGACCCTGTTATTTCACAGGACTCCAGGGTGTCGGAAACGGAATCCGGAGATGGCAGAAATTCGAAGGAAATGATGTGCATGGTAAATCCTCTCTTTTCATTTTCTTTTTGATCTCTGTCATTCAACACATGGAAAAATGATAGGAAGCATTAGATTTCACGTGTTTGAAAATGGGCTCTACACACCTCACCTCTCAGAAGGTGACTGCTCATGACTCAGTCAAGTCTGGAGCCTCTGTGACCCCCAAAAGCTTTCCCTGGCATCAGGTCCCTCAATTTCCTTGAGGCTGTGGGAGGAGAGGAGAGCAGTGCCATAAGGTTGAGCGCTCACTTGTTCACTGGCTGCATATAGGGACGGACTTAACATCATCATTCGGCATGGCTAGGTTTGAGTAAGTTCCCACTGGAGGTAGGGCTGCCCATGTCGTGCAGGGCATCCATCCTTTGAAAATTTTTCCAAACAGAGAGGATAGTCGCCTGCTTTGGGACATTATTACTCCTGGCCTAGCGCGATGGGTGCTGTGATTCCTGGCTGTCCTGAGATTCACAATATAGTAAGATCTGAGAGAAGTCACTTTCCAAAGCCTCCTTTCTCTGGTGCCAGGTGTTTGTCACCCCACAGGCCCAGGGCATCTCTGGGAATGCCATACATGGACCGACCATACCAGGCCTTATTCTGTACCCTTCAGAGATTCATTAGGCCAGCTTCCAAGAACGAACATCGGTGAGACAGCACTATAGGCATATGAGAATTCTAGTAAGAATCAGAACTCCACGCCCTGAGCCCCAAGAGAGGACACAGCCAGATCTGGGCTTATCAAATACTACTGTGAAGAAACCACTCCCATGACCCTCCACAGACGGGGAACCAGGACCCCAGTTGACTGAGACCATCCTGAAGGTAACAAAAGGGAAGGATGAAATTCTAAAAGTAAATTCATTCAGTCATTCCCTCAATAAAGGTCTACAGTGCTTACTCTGTGCCAGGCAGGGTTCTAGTTGTTGGGATGAAGACAGTCAAGAACCCCTGCCCTCATGGGGCCACGTTAGTGATCATAATTATAATGATGTTTATTGCAATTGAGTTTCAACATCCTGGAGGTAAAGAGCTTTCCTGTGTCCCTTGCCCTGTGTATGAGGACAGATCGTCCTCAAGACATATCCCTGCCCGGGAGACCATCCCTTAGGGTCCTGGCTAATGGGCATGCATGGTGGGATGGCTTCCTTTACCTTGCTTCAGGGCTATAGGATGGTAGATGCACCTGCTCTAGCTGTACGAAAGCAGATGCCAAAGTTAGTGTAACTATGCTGCAGGCACATGAGAATTATAGGAATAATTCCACCAGAAACCTGTCAGCTGCAAAAATGCACAGAGCCTATGCAGATATGCATGCTTGGCTGGTGTACAAGTGGGTACGTGGAAAAGTGGGTTGAGGTGGAACAAAAGAGACACAGCGTCTTCATTTGTTATAACTCTCTTACCTTGAGTTGTCTGAAATTCATCTTATGTCTTCTCAGCCATGTTATTACATTAGGAGAAGATTGAAATATAGTGAATATATCTTATTTTTACCACCGTTAGGGCCCTGGTTTGAGGGAATGTTAGTGGAAAAATACAAAAATAAAGAGGATCATGGAGCACCTGGCTGGCTCAGTCGGTGGTGCATGCAGCTCTTGATATCAGGGCTGTGGGTTTGAGCCCCACATTGGGTGTAGAGATTACTTTAAAAAAACTAAAAATCTTTAAAAAAATAATTTTAAAAAAGTGAGGATGGTGAAAGTAGTTCTTGAAAAATCACCCAGGAACTGAGAATTTCAGGTAAGTAGAGGCCTGGAGAGAGGCTCCACAGAGCCTGGAAAAGGTAAGAGTTGCTCCATTCCACAAATATAGGCAATTTAAAGTAAAATTGTATTTATTTTTTTCATATTGCACATTTGTGTGCATGCAGAAATTAAAATTACAGCTTCTCTATGTTTTCTGATGGTGAGATTCTGGGTTCATACTTCCCCTTGCTGGTGTCCAAGGCACTCAGCCCTGGAAACTGGATGGCTTTCATCCACAGAGGAGGCAGCTGATGGCTTGTGCTGGTGGAGTGTGCACAAATGTGGCTGAACATGGGACTGATCCAAAAAGGCACATGTTCCCCTTCTTGCTGCCCTGTGTGCTCCTTGAGCTGGGGCGTTGGCAGGGTGGGGGGAGCCCGGACTGCTCCAAACTTTTCCGAGCAGCAGGTGTTTGGGCCGAGCCAACCCCACTAGCTTGCCTGGCAACGGGCTTCCCCTGCTGTGATTGGCTGCTTTCCTTGGTCCTGGCCGAAGTCTGCCTAGCAGCACAGGGACCGACACCCCATAGCCACAGGGAAACCAATTGTGCAGCCCTGACTATAAATACCCACAGCAGCTATGCCAGCCAATCGTGCTCCTTGAGGATTCCCTTCCCGGATCCTGTTTCCTTCATCCGCCAGCCCAGCAGAGATGTAGCCAGCTGTGCCTGAAGGAGGCAGCCTCCCTGTCCTGGCCTGAGTCTGGCCTAGAGCTCTAGACCAGTGTCACCCTGGATTGGCACACCCAGTGCTCCTAGCCCTTGGCCGACCCACCGACCTCAGCCCATGGGGTGAGGGTCCTGGCTGGGCCTGCTCATAGAAGGCTGGGGCAGGCAGGTTCTCCAGGGCAAGACCCTGCCAGGTGGATCACAAGTCCAGCCCAGCTCAGTGACCTGCCTATCCACCTTGACTGGTTTCTACGTGGGCCCAGGCGTGGGAAGCCCTGAGTGGCAGATCTGATCAGGTGCACAAGGGAAGTCATCTGAATGGAATCTGCTTAGGCCAGAGCCCCAAAGGCATGCTTATTTCCAGGCTCAGGCCCTGGTCCTAGTGGTCACTTCCAGTGGCAGGCCCGACAGCCTTTATGTAGACCAGTGGGAGGCCAGGGAAGAAGGTGGCAGGCCTTCTGGGTGGTAACAGCAGGGGAATGCTCCTTTGCCACAATGCTGGCCCTCCCTCAACCCCTCCCCCGACACCCCCCCCCCCTTTAAGCAGCCTCAGCAAGACTAGGCCACCACAGCAGCTGTTAAGGGAGAGATATAGGTATGATGCTGAGTGAAATGAGTCAATCAGAGAAGGACAAAAATTATATGGTTTCATTCATTTGGGGAATATAAAAAATAGTGAAAGGGAATAAAGGGGAAAGGAGAAAAAATGGTGGGAAATATCAGAAAGGGAGACAGAACATGAGAGACTCCTAACTCTGGGAAATGAACTAGGGGTGGTGGAAGGGGAGGTGGGTGGGGGGTGGGGGTGACTGGGTGACAGGCACTGAGATGGGCACTTGACGGGATGAGCACTGGGTGTTATTCTGTATGTTGACAAATTGAACACCAATAAAAAATAAATTTATTTTTTTTTAAAAAGGGAGAGATATAGGAAAAGATGTTGCTTCCCATAGGACAGGCAGGTGAGTCTGTGGGTTTCCTCTTCGTGGCCTGTGGCAGGAACTGGGCATTTCTCCACAGTAGCCTGACCCCACTGGGGGACAGCTCTGTGTTCACATAGTGGGTGTCCTGCAGGTTTCTGTGAAACTGAGCCATACTGCAAGCCACCCCAACTCCTAAACTGGAGGAGAAGGCAGGCTGCCCCCATTCTTCTCAGAGGGAGGCAAGAGGTTGATCTAGGAATCAGGAGACTTGGGGTTCAAGGCCCTGGGGGCAGGGTCTATGGTCAAAAGCTAAGTGTCCAAGCCACGGGCCTATCGACTATAAAATAGGGGATAGGAGCCTCGAAGACCGCTCCACAGAAGGTGTGATGATCAGCTAGGCATCCCTTTGCACTTTGGCACCTGAGTCCAGCGACACTGAAGTTGGGACTTACGGTTACTTAGCCCACAAGAGGTGTCCCCACCTTCTTGAGAAGAAACCCAGCCTCCACTGGCACCTGCTGAGAGGTGTGAGAGTGTGTGTGCATGAGTTCGTAGTCATTTGCCTCTTAAACTTGTGGATGTGCGTGTGGGTGTGCACAGGTTTAGGCCAGGCCTGGGATGAGCTCAGCCCCCACCAGCCTGCCTTTCTTGCAGACACACACAGCTCCCTGCTCTGCCTGGGGCAAATTCCACCAGGGTCCCAGTGGTCACTGAAGGTCCTTCTCTCTCTGTCTTGCTCAACAGGAAGCCTAGCGGAGAAACAGAACCCTCAGCCGACCCAGGTCATTACGTCCTACGACAACCAAGGTAAGGGATTCACCACTCCCTGTGGCCTCTCCTCCACCTCCTGTGTGTCTGGATCTGTTGTTCAGGCCAGAGACAGCAAGTGCAGAGCACAGACTGGGGGGAACAGGGTCTTCTCTGCCCCAGAGATGTTGGAGCACCCTCTCCCTCTCCTCCTCACATCCCAGGGGAAACAGTGAGAGGCTCCGTGGTGACACGAGGTAGAGTAGTAAAGTCCTTGGGCCACAGAACCCACAGCTGTCCTCATCGCCCTCACTGTCATCACTAGAGCTAACATTTATGAGTGCTAAGCATGTGCCAGGCACCCTGCCGATCCATTTACATAATTATTCTCATGTAAATGAAGCTTCACAGCACTCCTATTTGATCAGTCCTCTCAACTATCCTCTATTTACAGATGAGTAAACTGAGGCTTGGAAAGGTTGCCATAGGTCTGCAAGCACAGGGCCAGTAAGCAACCCGACCCTCCCCTCACAGCCACCACCGAGGCCTCTGCTGTTAACCTTCACACAGCAGGGCTTCTCGGCGCCTCTGGAAAGCAGCCTTCACCTTGGGTGCTCACTGTCAGAGCTTTCCCTCCTCCTGTCACAGCGGTTCCCTGGCCTCTTGTTCCGGAGACGGAGCCTTCCAGGGCCTTCCAGCCAGGGATGAATTTGACTGAGCAAGGGGAAGTGAGAGGGCCCTTCTTTGAGAATCCTTCCCTTGCTGGGATGGGTTCTGGGGGCTCTGAGAGGGCATCACTGCACTGACTCTGCAGTTGACTGGATCTGAGAACGGGGGTGGGGGGGTGGGGGGTGGAGGGGTGGTAAGGACAGGAGGACTCTACAGCTACAGCTGCAGGGGAGACCAGGTTAAATAGACACACACACACACACACACACACACACACACACACCCCAGCTCACTCCCACTTCACTCCTAACACACACTAACCTCTCACCTTGGTTTCCAGCTCCTCATTAAAGACTCAGGTCCTGGTACCTGAGAGGCCTCATAGACTCAGCCCTAAGATCATACTACTGTGGTTCTCGGTGCTGATGTCCTGACTTGTAAGGAGATTATCTCATCGTGTCCAGGGGGCAGAGGCAAAGTAGGACTCCTCCGGAGGACTCAGAGCCTCTCAGAGAATGGCTGTCAGAAGCACGGACTAAGCCAGCATCCCCAACAGAAAGGCACTGGCCAGCGGTGAGGAAAGGCCTCTCCAGATGGGTTAGCGGCACTAGGCCAGCCTTCCTTGCAACCAGGGCCAGTGTGCCTTGCAGCAGAATTCCTGGAGTGTGGCTCCAGAATAGGCCCTACTCAGCAGGGGCCTGCTGCAGCCTGCCCCCTGCCCTGGGCACACGGCAGAGACAAACCTGTGCCCCACTGCTTCCCTGAAGTGGACTACCAGCACACAGCTCAGCACAAAGCAAAAGTAAACAATACCGCACTGGAATGAAAGTGGATCAGCCACTACCTCACTAATCTTGCTTAGCTCTGGCTACACTGGCTGATGCGGTCATGGTGTCATTGCTGTTTGTGCACAAGAAAGCGGAGACAGGAGACGCTGGGGTCCCCGAGCTGGGCACACCTGCGAGCCCTCCACACTGCACTGCCCCCACTGTCCTAGGCAGATAGGAGTGGGATGGGGCCCGCCAGTCACCGGAGCCTCACCTGGCACACCACACCCTGGCTCTCATGGGCCACTCACGTTCCCCCTTCCAGCTTTCGGGGCTTCCAGCGGACAGAAAGGAGGGTGGCCCTGGTATCCTAGGTGCAGAATAGAGCCCTGTAGGTTGGGATGAGATGGGCCCAGGAAGGTCCTACGAGAGCTTGGGCCATAGTGAGGGAAAAGGCTGCCCCTGTCTGGGGCTGAACTAGAGTCCACAACAAAACAGGCAAGGAGCTGTTTTGTCCCTGTGGACCTGACACCCTAGTGAGGGAGCCAGACAATCCTAAGAAGAAAAATACAGGTGTCAAAGGAGGCTGAAGGAAGAAACAAGGCCGGGAGGAGGCTGAGAGTAGCGTGGGTACACATGGGTGTTAGTTTCCTATAACTGCTATAACAGATTATCACAAACTTGGTGGCTTAACACAAAAATGTATTCTCTCTCCCTCTTTTTTTAAGATCACTTATTTATTTATTTCTTCATGAGAGATACACAGAGAGAGGCAGAGATATGGGCAGAGGGAGAAGCAGGCTCCCTGTGGGGAGCCCAGTGTGGGACCTGATCCCAGCACCTCTGGATCATGACCCAAACTAAAGGCAGATGCTCAACCACTGAGCCACCCAGGGGTCCCCAAAATGTATTCTCTTAAAGAGTTCTGGAGACTACAAGTTTCAAGTGAGCCTTCCTGGGCTAGGTCAAAGTGTGGGCTGGGCAGGTTCCTTTTGGGGGCTCTAAGGGTGAATCTGGTCCTTGACTCTTCCAGCTTCTAGAGGCACTTCTTGACTCATAGCTGCATCACTCCATTGTCTGTAACCACTGTCATCTTACCTTTCTCCCACATAAGTAGTTAAATCTCCTGACTCTGTTTTATGAGAATCCTTGTGATTACACTGAGCCCACCAGATAATCCAGGATGATCTTCCTATCTCAAGATCCTTAATTTAATCACATCTGCAAAGTCCTTTCCTATATAAGGTAACATTCACAGGTCCCCAGAATTAAGGCATGGACATCTTTAAGGGCTGTTACACAGCCTACCACCCTGGGGACAATTTAAAGCAGAGTAGATGCTCCGTGATGTTTGAGTGAGGGAGGAGGGGTGGAAGCAAGCCTTGGGGGCACCTGGGGAGGAGCTTCCAGCAGAGGGAGCACCAGGTATGATAAACTTTATGCAAGGGGTGACAAAGGGATCATTGGAATCTTGGATCTTCATGTGGAGGGGTGCTTCAGAAGATTACTCCAGAACAGGTGTGTGGGTAGAATGACAAGAGTGATCACTGGAGCCCCCGTGATTTCAGGCCCCAAAAGCGATTCCTTGGTTTTCTTCTGAGGCTTTCGTCCCTCCAGGTCATGTACCCTTGGTCTCATGCAGACGCTCTGTGCCTTCTTTGATCACACATGCGCTAGAGTCAAACTGCCACATATCTAGACCTGGGACACTCCTGTGGAGCTCTGCTCTGCAGAAAGTATCATAATGGCCCCATGTTTCCAAGAGCCCAGCGAAAGCCTAGGGCGGGTTAGGGCCCTTCATTCCCCACCATCCCACCCCCCACCGCATCCCCGCTCCACCGGGCTGATGCTCCAGAGGCCTCAGCCCACTTTGTTGGCAGGTCATCATCTCATGACTAGAGCTTCAGGGCAGACCTTGCCCGCTGTGTCTGGCAGAGGCTGGCAAAGGTTCTACAGAGCTAGTCTGCTCCTCCCGTCATCCCACATGCTGTTCTCTAGGCAGAAACCGCAGCACAGCGCTGCTGAACCACCTACCCTGGAGCTCTTTCAGGGCGTTTTTTAATTACAGATGCTTTAGCTGAGGCTTCCTGACTCTCAGCTCCTGCAGAGAAAAATTTCCAGGAGAAGAACCCGGTTATTAACCCGAGTTCTAGTTATGGAAAGCGTGAGTGAAACCTCCTTAAAATCAAGGGTGGCAAATATCTGACATGTATCCCCTAGCCCCCCCCATACACACCCACTTGTGTGTACACTCACATTCGTGTGCACACACGTGCCCACACTCATGGCTAATTGATTCACACTCCAGGCAGCCACTTCCAGTCAGTCAGAGTTAATGAACAACATGAAATCTGTTTGCCGTCTCTGCATTAGATATTCTGAGCAAATTAGGCCTTTAGACAAATCCTCATTCAAACCTGCAGAGCCCCAGGGAGATGCTGCTGGGGGAGAGAAGTCTCCTGACCAGGTAAAAGGCAGACCCAAGGCGGTGGGCCATAGACGTGCTGGGGCTTGCCTGCTACATCTCCACATCGGAGGGGAAGAGGAAAAGGAAGCAGAGCTGGTGGGATCTGGAAAAGGCCCAGGAGCCACTTGTCAGGGGTGACAGGAAACAACCACTAATATGGTGTTCCTAAGACAGCCAGGGTGGCAGCTTCAGAAATGTTGTTTGGGTGACAGTTGGCAGAACCAGGGAGGGGCGCTGTGAGAGAACCAGCCAGGTGACCTAAAGTCCCAGGAAGGGCCTCCCCTGGGGGTTGTCGTGACTGTTTAGATTGGTTGATGATATCTGACTATACTTAGGTTTTAGATCTTACCTGAAATTTTGCTCCAAATGATGTTCCACTCTTTACCATTGGAGATTGGTCCCATTAATTTTTTTCTTAAATTAAGAGTTGTATGTGATACAGGAATGTAGTAGTCTGCAAAACCTTACCATTAGGGGCACCTGGGTAGCTTAGTGGTTGAGCATCTGCCTTAGGCTCAGGTCCTGATCCTGGGGTCCTGGGATCAAGTCCCAGGATGGGCTCCTTGTGAGGCGCCTGCTTCTCCCTCTGCCTATGTCTCTGCCTCTCTCTCTGTGTCCCTCATGAAAAAATAAATAAAATCTTAAAAAAAAAAAGAAAATCCTACCATTTCACACCCTTAGGAAGCTCAAGGCTCTCCATGGTTCTCTAACCATGGAATTAATAAGGAAAAAATAATACGTGAGTAGGAAAATAGGCAATTCACAAAATAAGAATTTTAAATGGCAAATGAGTATATGAAGAGCCTTGGAAAGCCTGGTTTCAGAGGCAGAGAAGCCCCCGCAAGGGCCCGTACACACCTGTGTGCAATAAGAGTGGGCACAGCACTCCCGCAGATCAGGGAGGCCAAGGAGCTTTGCTGTTTTCCTCAACGGGGACTGATTAGCCCCTGACTCAGGAAGTCAGGGGCTCAGGGGAATATTGGAATTTGGGCCCCTGTCCTAGAGTAGGGAGAAAAGATGAGGTACAGGAAAGGAAAAAGGAATTGGAAATGGCCGGGTGGAGCTTGCAGGCCAGGATCACGTCGGAGTATGAGAATATCTCAGCACCCACCTTTTGCCAGGGCTTTAACAGTACCTTGTTTTCCAGCTCACTCATT